AAGTTACTTCTTAGAAGTCGCCAAATTTATTTCAAAACAGATTTTTGTAATATGCTTTCTATATCCTTTTAAATTCTGTAAAATCTATGGTAATGTCTCCTAGGTCTTGATATTTTAAATTTAAAAATGTATAATTGATATTGTGCAATAGGAAGTAAAGGTCTAAAGGAGCAGGGAAAGTGGGAGAGGTAGGGAAAAGGAAAGAAGGGAAAAAATGTGTGAAATGGAAAAAAATGGAAAAAAAATCTTTGCCAATAGGGAAAGGTGGAGGGGGCGAAGGGAGGGCAGGGGAAGAGGAAAAAAAATAAGAACCAAGATATTCATGTAGTGGTACAAGATCCCAATGATGTATGTAAATGTATTTTATACCTAAAATGTACCAATAAACTTAATGGGGAAAAAAAAGAATGAAGTACTCATACATGCTACACCATAGATGCCTTGAAGATATTATGCTAAGGGAAAGAAGCCAGTCACAAAGGACCACATATTGTATGATTCTATTTATATAAAAGGCCCCAAATTGGAAAAGTCCATAGAAATAGAAAGTAGATTAATGATTACTAGGGGACTGTGAGTGGGATGGGAGGGAATGGGGAGTGACTGCTAATTGCTATAGGGTTTCTTTTGGGGAGATGAGAATATTCTAGAATTAGAAGTGGTGACAGTTGTACAACTTTGTGATACACTAAAGACCACTGAGTTGTATATTTTAACATGGTGTGCTATGTTTTATGGTATATGAATTATATCTAAATAAAACATTTACAAAGAAGTGTATATAATTATGTATTAACTTTGTGTTCTATAGTATAACAACAGTATCAGGCACAACATTTATCATATGTGGGTTGGTCATTAGCTACCAGTGCACACTTGCTCAAAATGCTCAGCTCTCCTTACTTTGTTTGTAGGCAGCATTGCCTCCTTCCAGGCTCCAAATGCCAAGCTTCGACTGGTGGTTCTGGCCCTGGGTGTGTCCTCTTCGCTGATAATGCAAACTGTAACTTGGTGGTCAGGAAACAGCTTGCAAAGGTATGTATTTGTCAGTTTTCCCATTTCTGGACAGTATACCTGACACTTGCAACTTACAGGAGAAGTTTCATTTGACACACAGTTTTAGAGATTTTACTCTTACAGACAAACAAATATGATTAGTTACCAAGGGGAAACTCAGGGCCAGGATTTTCAAATTATAGTTTTTACCTTCTATAAAGCCTTGTCCACTCTCCTTTTTTTCCTTTTCCCAAAACAAGGATGTGACTACTTAGCATGAATCTCAATAATGTTTTTTTCATTGCCAGAGATTGAACCTAGGCCTTGCACATCCTAAGTACATGTTCTACCACTGAACTGTACCCTCAGTCTCAATAATGTGCTGAGAATTAAAGAATTCTAACAAATTGTCTAGGTAATGGGCTATAGAAAGGCCACATCAAGTACATTACCACAAATTACCAACAAGACAGTTTCATATTCTCATTCAGTTAAACTGAAATTCATAAAGGATGAAGTACATTGAACCTACGTAAGATGTCTTTAACAATACTTTTGCACTTGCAGGTACCTCAGAATCTGGGGCTTCATTTTAGGACAGATTCTCCTTGTTGTCCTCCGAATATGGTACACCTCACTAAACCCAATCTGGAGTTATCAGATGTCCAACAGAGTGATGCTGACCCTAAGTACAATAGCTATACTTGATCGCATTGGCACAGGTAAGTGCAAGGGCTCGTCTCCCTTGCAGTTTACCTTTTCTATATGAATGTAGCATGCCTAGAAAAGCAAATTCATAAAAATAGTTTTCCTGCCCTGTATCTCCATTTCAGCCTTTCTCTCTTCTGAAATGGTAACTGAAAGCCAGTGGACCCTTCCCCAAGTGGAAGACAGCTCCTTAATACAGACAGCAAAACTAGAAAGCCATCAGTGGTGTGTGCCCCTGTGTCAGTAGGGGACAAGAGCCAGGACTTGTCTGTGCAACTCACATCCAGTGTGCTCTTGTTATCTTTTCTCTGGACTGGGTTTGACAGCATGGGATTCTCCACTGTCCACCTCTGTGCCAACTCAGTACACCTGTAGGCTGGAAAGTCACCGTGGTCTACAGGTGTGGCAACTACAGTGGACCCTTGACTGGCTAACTCAATTCACTCGTGAGTGCTGGTTGTAACTCAGGTTGGTCAATTAAGGTTCAGGCTCCTCTACACAGCCTGCAAAGTCTCTCTTCTGGATACAGGCAGATCTCAGTGAGCTTAGAGAGACATTGGTCCAGGATTTTTCAGTTAACCCCACACAGGAAAGGATGTTGTAGTGTTCCTTCTAGAACTCTTTAAGGGTTAAATCTGTATCTGAGACCATCTGGAAGCACAAGTGGCCGGTATTCAGGTCATAACTCAAGATTTTGTTTGAAAGTTAAAACTAAAATTCTGGTCATAACCCAAGTCATTCATGTCTCCAGGTGGTTGTAACTCAAGGGTCTACTGTACCTGGCTTTTTTTCTAGGGATCTTAAACTCCAAATCCCAAGCTTGAAAAGAAGGGAGATCTTACATGTTCACATCACTTTTCAAATCACCTCTCTCCCATGATAGCTAACTTTTCTGCAGCATACACATATCAAGCTTGGGTATTTGCATTCCACTCCAACTTGAGACTTCTAAAAAGAAGGGAAGAGTATCCCTGGATTCTAATTAACTATCTTCTGGCTTTTTCTGTAACTCTCAGTAAGTTATGTCCTTCTGTAAATATAAGGTCGAATCACATAGAGTAATGAAAGTATGAAAGGTATTGGCTCAGCATGAAGAGAAAGTGCTTGTGTAATTCCCCTCTGGCCCAAATTTTTGGCATGAAACAGAGGTAATAAAGGAAAGGGGTAATAAGGGAAATTAAACAAGTAAATGAGCCATATGATTTTAATGTTCAAACATTCAGAGTTTGGTCTAGTCCCTACATATATATATATATATATATGTTTTATATTTTATAAATTGCTCCCATGTAAACGCACACACAGGGCAACACATTTCTCAGGTACAGCCAGATAGTGATCTGGACTTCAGGGTACTGTTCGAATTTCCTGACTTCAGTTTTCTTCTTGCCTGTTTTAAATTTATGTGACTCAGGTGCTCCCTGTCAATCTCTTCCTCGGTTCTTACCCTGTGCCTCATTTTCAAAACTCAGACTTCCCCAGATGTCTGAACACAGCAGGTGTTTTTTTGTTATTGTTGTTGTTTTATTTGAAGATTACTTGGGTCCTGAGGGTGGACTCACCCAGCACAGTTCACTGGGTTTTACTCAGAAAATTCAGTTTAGAAAGCTCTTCTCCTGAGGCCGCTTGACTCCCAGACCCCTGACCTCCCTCTCTCTACACCCCCTCTCCCACCCCATCCCCATCCCCATCCCTTTCAGCATGCTCCTGCTTCCTCTGACCCCATTCTTGTCAGACTAGCACCCTTCCTCTATGCAAAACCACATTGCCAGCTTCACAGACAGAACCTAAGTCTTCCTTCAGTCCTGTGGAGACTTCACAGGGTCCCAAAGTGCCTGCCCAACAGGCTCTCTGTTTCTGTAAAGAAATTCTCCTGCTGGCATCTTCTTTGCTGTTACATTTTTGTGTGTGAAGTCCTTGCTGTGATGAATGGAGTTTCCTGGTTAAATAGCACAGCACCCTGAATTATACCAGTGTGATATCATTAAGCAGCCATACTGCCTGAGCACCAATCCCAGTCTTCCAGTTTTTCTTTACTAGCTGCGTGACCTTGGACAATCTAGTTAATCTGTCTGGGTAAGATTTTATAATCTGTAAGGTGGGATTAGTGATAAGAGTCTATCCACAAAGATGTTGTGAACATCAAATGAGTTAATATAAAGGGCTCAGAAGAGGGGTTGGCACATAGTAACTGCTCAGTAAATGGGGTTATTACCCTGAGCACACAGAGGGTTCAGTGAGAGCCTTGTTGTTTTGGAAGGAAGCTGGTGTGCTGGAAATGTTCCACTCAAGTTGGACAGCATTTGTTTCCTGTCACTTACTTTATTAGCATGTTTTTGCTCCTTCTGTTACCTTCACATGAAGTGCGTAGCTTTCTGCATTCTTCTTGTCAAATTCAGAAGCACCTGTCCTCTCTTACACCATCCTTTATCTAGACTGCTAAAAATCATCTTTCCCACCAAATAGCCATCAGCACATTCTGCTTTGTATTTAAGTTGCATATCTCTTCTTCCCTTCTAGAGAAGTTCCTTAGCCTGGTGCTATTTCCTACTTGCTGAAAGTCTGTCAAATATACTGGGTGAATTTCTGAGTAATCGGCTGTTTCCTTTGTTTTTCTCTCCCCAATTCTAGATGGCTACTGCAGTAAACCTGAAGAGAAGAAGACTAGCAAGGCAGCCAAGGGTGTGGCCTGTAGACCTCACTGGCCATTGGCAGGGGCTGCCTTTGGAACCCTTGTGTTCCTCACCCACTGGATCTTCGGAGAAGTCTCTCTTGTTTCCAGATGGGCAGTGAGTGGTCATCCCTACCCAGGGCCAGGTCCTAACCCATTTGGGTGAGTTCGGATTTGGAAGCAATCAAGCAGTTGGCAGTTATGTCTGGAGGAAAAAATGTCTCTTGGGTTTGACAAGCCAGATCTATGCTAACCAGATAGAGCATTTCATATCCATCCCCCTAGACGTCAGAAATATTGCCTGAAGTTATTGTGAACTCTGGAAAGGAGAAGCCAGAGTTGCTCCTGTGCTGAATGAAGGATTGTGGAAGTGTAGGAGACGGGGAACTGAAGGTTATGTGTGAGAGGTTCCCAGAGCTCCTGCATGGGCATCTTGGGAAAATTCCTGCACTTGGAGCATTCTCAGCTGCAGGAAAGGAGCAGCAGTCGCTGGCCCGGTGTCACAGTCATGGGCACTGGGTAGATAGGACACGGTGTCTGATGTGAGAATGCTTTTTCCCCTGGCATTCTCCTTAGCCAAAATGGACATAGTAATAGCATTTACCTTACAAACTCATGAGGATTAAATGAATAATAACACAGGTAAAAAATCCTAAAACAGTGCCTAGCATGTAGTGCTATTTTGTAGCTTAAGTTATCTTATTGCTACTTCACTGAATGCTACATTATAGCTGTTACTCCTGCTACATTTCTTCCTAAAGTTTAGTTAACTTCTTTTGTTCCTCCTCCTATAAGTTTTTGCTAAAACAGCAAAAGAATGAAATAATTTGTAGCTATTTTGAAAAACCACACAACTGCCAATATTTGTCAAACTGACACTGGTCTCAGGAAAGCAGACTAAGTAAAAGCAAGTACTGGGGCAGAGAAAAGAAACAAAAAAGGAGTTGGGGATTTAGCTCAGTGGTTCTTCTGCCTGCCTTGCAAGCACAAGATCCCGAGTTCAGCCCCTGGTACCAAAAAGAAAAAGAAAAAAGAAACAAAAAAGACAAACTACATAGAACTATTGCTAATGACTTTTTTCCTTTGATTTTTGGCAGTCATTTAAAATGTCACATGACCAGTGTGGACTATAATTTAAAAGTCTGAGAAAACTCAATTATTGTGCTTACCTTGACCATGAGAGACTGCGGACACCATTTATCTGAAGTCAGAGTTTTTATACTTCATGGTTCCAAATGTGTATCGTATTAGTTCCCAATGAGCTGTCATGATCTCATTGGTTCTTTCATAGTCATATTATCTTTTGAATATACCTAGAGGTAGGAGGTCTATTTCTGTTTTATACATGAAACAATGAAATATTAATCACATCATATATCTTGATGTATTTTTATTTTACTTCACAGAGGTGCAGTTCTGCTGAGTTTGACAAGTGGATTGATGCTTTCATCATGTTCCTGGTTTCATGGCACTATCTGGTGGGCTATAGGTATGTAGGAGTTACCTGCAGATGTGCCATCGTTGAGCTCAGTTACCCAGTTTACTTGCATGTATATGCAGCTAGACTGGAAGAAGATACAGCCATACACATATGCACTATGGCTAAATGGGCTGTTACAAGTTGCTGTGGCAACTATAAGCCAGATGTCACCAAGGTCCCTGATGACAACCTACTTCAGACTCCTGCTTCCAGTCCTCCCTTACCTTCTGTGGATGTCTTGTGCCCTCAGAGTACACTGCGATAATACTACTGTATTAGTCACTTTCTTGTCACTGAGGCAAAACATCGGATACCCACATTTTAAAGGAGAAGAGGATTATTTGGGCTCATATTTCAGTCCATGAGCAGCAGGGAGGCTTGGTGGAGGAAAGCTACTCACTTCGTGGCATCCAGGAAGGAGAGAGACTAGAAAGGAGCTGGGAAGGGAGGTGTATCCTTCTAGGTCAGGCCCATTGTGATCCAGCAGACCCTGGCTCCTAATAGCACGTCAGCTATAATGCCCCCCACATAACCCAACCACCTTCCAAAAGCCCTGCCTCTGAGCACATGAGACTTTGGGGGGACATCCAGATATAAATCATAACAACTACCAACCCTCAAAAATACTTAAGCCAGACATTGTGTAAGTAGCAGATTTTACTGAAAGGGTAGAGGGTGATCTATCACAAGCTACTAGTTGCCAGCTCCTTTACTTTCTTCAAGAGTTACTTCTCCATTTTTCAAAAATGCCCTGTTTTGAGATTCTTTAATGATGCTTCATTTCCCTTTCTCTTTTACATGTAATAATTTTGTTTCCCATTTTTTACGCATCTTTGGGATTCATGCTTGCTGTCCAAACCCCTGGGTCATTTCTCCATAGTTACACCCTTTAGGATCCAGGAACACTGGGGAAGGCTGTCATACTTTAGGGTGCCCCTTTTCCTTCTCCCATTAGTCTTCGTGAGCTCATAGGTGCATTGTATTCTTTTCCTGTGGCTGAATTATGCCACTCCCGTCCTCTTCCTTCCCCTTAAAAGGCAGAGATGGTTAGACAGTAGTCATTGTTGGCATTAAGTAAAAATTCCTTGCTCTTTTGCAGAGCAAACACAATATATGGTTTCTGTGAGATGTCTTTATACATATTAATTAAGCAGGTGATTCAAAGTGTTGGCCTAGATCTGTGAGACTGAGTACATCAGTAACAGAAGATGGGATGGAAAATGTAGCAAGTCAATTTCTACATGCTGTGCCATTCATTGGCTTTGCATAGAAATGTATGTGGAATCCAAATAGGCTGCTAAACTAATGAGGCTGGCCAGGTCCTCTTCCTCCTGGAGATGTATGAACAAGCTGTTGCAGTCTTGTTGAGCTGTTTTCACTTGCTTGCGTGTTTTCTGACAGGAATTGCATCTGCAGTCTGGAAGTTGGTGTGTATTTAGGAGTAACTATTTTCTCCTCTGAGAGCTGCTTCATGATATTCTTTAGGAAAAGGGCCAGATAACTGAGTTTGCAAGAAGCATGTTTGGCTTATTAAACAGTATACAATTTAGAAAAGGAAAATGAAATGGATCAAAAGTTTGTCCAGCATTTACAGCATGCTTTTTCTTATAGAAGATGAGTAAAATGCTTATTGGGCAGGTAATCAGCAACTTTATTTTAAACATGGGGAAAGTAAGGAACACACAAACATGAATTTTTTTTTTTTTTGTACTGGGGATCGAACTTGGGTCCTTGCGCTTGCGCAGCAGGTGGCGAAACCACTGAGCTAAATCCCCGGCCCCAGAAACATGAATATTAAAGAACAGAAAAGCAGTGAACTTATGGTCTTATTTGCTCACAAAAATAAGGTCACATTTTTGAGAGTTAAACTTAATGTGGTTTTGCTGCATCTCTGCAATATTAAGTAGTAGTTTCAAAGATTCCACAGGCGTCAAATTTAAGGCTTCTAATTGGCTATTTGTGGTAGAGGAAATTAGGGTCATAATTCGTAAAATTTCATTTTCCTTTCTGATCTGCTTGTCTTATGTAAGTTGGAGCTCAAACTAATTATCTAGAGATAGTGCTCACTATTCACTGTTATTCATTTCTGAAAACCATGTAGTAAAGCATAGAAACAGGAATCATGTTTTCCCATTGTACATTTATGTCTCCTTCTTAGTACTCAACATGAAATTAATTCTGGCAGTGACCCAAGAACTTCATAAAAGCAAAGATATGGGAGCTTTAAAGTTTGATAGCAATTAAATTAGTAAAATCAAAATTCTATTAGCAAAAAGCATAGATGTTTTAAGCACACTGGAGAGGGCCCCAGTATAGGACACAGTGTGCATATAATCTTATTGTATGAAAATGTGATCCATTGAAAAGTAACATGTCAATTCTTATTATACATGCCATTGGAGTTTCAGTCACCATTAATTCTACTTGATGCTTAGATGGAAAGGTTTGGGAACAATTATTTGGAAGGCCTCTGTCTCAAATAAATAAAAGAAACAACTAAGGTATACAGTTAAGTAAAAAGGGCAAAGTGACTATAAGTGAGTATCATATGCTACAATTGGTGTACAAAAAGGGAGAGAAATATATATAAATATGTTTTTCTTTGTATGCATAAAACATCTTTTGAAAGATGCAGAAATAAATGCTAACATTGGTTGCCTCCCCTAAGGGGACCTGGTGAATAACAGGCTTTAGAAGGTCCCTTTTCTATCATTTTTTATTGGTCTTGGAATTTATAACCTACTTAAAAACACAATTTTAGTTTTAAAATATAGAACTTATGTTAAAACACAAACTAAATGAAAATAAACTCTTTAGATAATTCTTTGTAGTAAGACAAAGACAACGAAGTCACTTTTTTGTTTTGTTTTATTTTGTTTTTTTGAGACAGAGTCTCTTTATGTAGCTCAAGTGGGCCTTGAACTCACTATGTAGCCCAGACTGGCCTTAAACTCACAACACTCCTCCTGCCTCAGCCTCCTGAGTGTTGGGATTACAGGTGTGCACCACCATGCCTGGCCAGTAACAAAGTCATTTTAATATCTTTAGATTAGAATATCAAACTAGGACTTATTTTTTTTAGAATAGTCATTGTAAGCCAGCAAACGGAAAACTCAATCTCACTAATAATTAAATAAGAGCAATTTTAAATATCATACCACTTTCATCATTAATTTAGTAAAGGATTTTAGAAAGAAGTAATTTTGGCAGGGTTTTGAACATGTAGAGACTTTGGCAAGTTTTCTTGAGGCAGTTAAGGCTAGTGTCACCTTCCAGGGCAGCAACTGGCCACAAGTAATAGGTTTAAAATAAACCCTTGGCAGAGGCTGCACTGCTGGGACTCTGTTTTAAGGAAATAACAGAGATGTGGTAAGAGATTTGTTGACAAGGAAAGTTGTTCATCACACTGTTGTTTTAAAAGCCTGACATTAGAAACTTCATTAACAGCCAACAGTAGAAAAGCCATCATGTATGTTGTTATGTATATATCCAGGATGTATTACATACATAAAGATATTTAAGAAAAAAACTAATAACATGAACAAATATTCTTCATGTAATGTCACATCAAGAGTAACATATAATCCTTAATATGTGTTACAGTTCCATTTATGTAAAAATACTGTGTTACATAGAAAAAGGCTTAGGAGAAATATATGCACCATGTGATTAAAATGAAAAATGTCCTAACACCTAATATTTTTACTATACTGTACATTTTCTATGTTTAGATACACAAATACCACTGTATCACAACTTCCTACAGTATTCAGTACAGTAACATGCTACAGACATTTGTAGCCTTGGAGCAGTAGGGTAGACCAGTGGTGGCGAACCTTTTAGCACTTTCAATGATAACAAACAGCCCACTGCAGCAGCACACATGCCATAGGTTTGTCACCACTGGTGTAGACCACAGTCTAGGTGTAGGGGGCTAGACTGTCTAGGTTTGCATAAGTACACACTGATATTTGCATTATGATAGAATTATTTAACGACAATTTTCTCAGAACAATCCCTTCTATTAGGCGATGCATGGTAGGGTGACTCCTTACTGTGGCTGTATCAGTCCTAGGTAATCTTTCATTGCTTCTTTACAGTTCTGTATTTTAAGTTTCTACATCAAGTAAGTATTACAGTTGTTTTTGTCCGGAGCAAAAAAATTGCTATTGTGGGATATAGGATATGAGGTAAAACTGCATAGGTTGTAGAGGACCCTGGAATCTGGTTCTTGTATTTATCTCAGTGAGATTCTTTTTGAAGAGGGAGGAATACAGAGTCCCATGGCTTTGTCTTGTGCTGCTGCAAGTGGAACTTACTGATGGATGCAAGTCGTGAAGCCTTAAGAAGCTGGCTAAAGCTGCTTTCTGCTCCCCACTCCTCTTTTTGTGAAGTCCTCGCCCTAAGCCGTAAAGTGTCTGCTGTAGACATCTTGAAGGATGAGTTCTAGGTCTACAGCAGTGACTGAAGTGTTTCAGAATTGCCATGTTGTCTGTGCAAATGTCTTCTCTTGATAGCCCTAGGTGGGGTGGACCTGAAGAGCAACGCAAACATCAAAGCTGATTTCATACAGTTGGGAGACGGGTTATGTGACCTCAGTGTTGGCTCAACACAGCGACATTTGCTAGGTGCAGACCAGGCAGACTCTCAGCCCCCAACACCCGGCAGTCAGTGGTAACAATCCAGCAGACCACAGATTTGCTAGGGCAGTGAGTCCACCAAAGCTATCTTAGTGTTGTCCTCTTTTGGGGCTATGTGGTCAGGAAGGTGAGGGTACATATTGTGGGACAAGGGGCAGAAATTACTTTAGAAAGTGACTTACCAAAAATGTGCTAGAAAGCACACTGACTCTATATGTGTGTTCTACTGTATCTGGCTAGTTAAATTTAATGAACATATTTTGGTATTGCAGATAATTTCAGTTTTTGTTGCTCTTAGGACGATAGCACCAATACTGTATCTGAAATGCCTTCTTTTGTCCTCTTGTCCTTTCCAAAGAAATAGCATTGGCCCAAGGTTTATTACCTCTGTCTTCCATCTCCAGGTGTGACAGAGACTGGCTGTGTGGCCTTGAACAACTCAAATTAACCCACTAGAGCTTGGTTTTCTCATTTGTCTGGAGATTGAAGCAGCCTACGCCTGAGGTCCCTCTGGCTCTAAATGGGTATAAACTGGTCGTCCTATAAGCTTTATTGCTTTCCTATCTGACTCACCTTTTCCCCTTTTCTCTCTCACAAACAGGAGCGGCTTCGGCTGGAGGCCTCCTCTACCTGCGCACGTGGGCAGCCGCAGTTTCCGGATGCGTGCTGGCCACCTTCACAGGGTCCATGTGGCCTCAAGTGCTTGGACACCTTGTTAGCTCAGGGACAAGGCCTGGGGAGACCATGGCCGTGGCCATGATAGTTTATGTTCTAGACATGTTCTTCTGTGCATGGTGCACAGCTTTTAAGTTTGTTCCGGGAGGAGTCTACGCTAGAGAAAGATCAGATGTGCTCCTGGGTGAGTACACACAAAGGGTCTAGAGTAAAGATAGCAAAAATATCCTCAGGGACTGCCTGGGAGTTAGCACTTTACATGGCTGGGGAGAACAGGATGATCTTGTTTTCTTAGTAAAATAGCTTCTCATGGTAAAAAAAACCAAACAAACCTGGAAGAATGTCTGAATTATAAGTTAGAAACAAATTTCTTGATTTATCATGCCTTTTAGTAATATTTATTACTCCAAAGCCCTTTTAAAAGAATTGGTTGTGAAGAATGTTTAATCTACAATAAAATGTAAACTGTGTACATAGTATGTTAGGAAAGGTATAATTATGATGTTCATGTTGCTATGTCAGTACTAATATCATAAATATACCCGTGGGTTGTGATTTTTTTGGTTGTTCTGAATTTTATCAATGGTCTTTATTTGCTGTATTTTTACCACTAAAATATAGTACATATGTATCTTAATGTAAATGATAAACTCCTAAATCACAGAATAAATACATTTTCCATTCTGTGGTTATGAATTTGCATACCAAAATAAAAAATTCACAAGTTAGTTTATTTATTTTTGTTTATTTATTTATAGTGCAGGGAATCGAGCCCAGGGCCTTCACACTGAACTACATCCCAGACTTTTAAAAAAAATTTTGAGACAAGGTCCTTTTTGTCTTCTGGCAGTAAGAGAATTACTAATATATACCACCCATACACAAATCAAATGTGCCAGCCATTCAGTGTAAGTAAAATTTGTCAAATCCTTTCACAATTAAATCTTAGAAAATAAAGGGATGGGTATCTAGTTCTTGTTTGCTTATACACTCGTTTTTCCATTCATTTATTTTTTAAAAATCTCACACACCTATTATGTTCTTGGCATGGTGCCAGAGGCCAGAAGTGAGAAACCTGGTGTCCCTGCCCACCTGGAGCTTTAGCTGAGTGGGGAAATACTCCAGATAGACAAGACAGACATTTGTGAAAATTGTGTAGGACAATGCTGCGAGAGAGTGGGTGGCTCCTGCCTATGTCTGTCTCAGTTCTCCCTTGTGCCACGGACATGTCCAGCTGCTCTGTGCATCTTTCCTACCCCGTGAGCACACATCTGCCAGATCAGGCTGCTTTGGAAGGTGTGTTACTGAGAGACATGGAATACTTTAGAAATGACCTTTGAGAACTTAATATTTGTGGTCAGTGCGGATGCTCCCATCTAATTAGTGAAATACATTGCTGCATTTCTTCTGCAGTGACCTTGGCTTTGAGAACCTTATATTTCTTCTGGTTTCTTTCAGGTGGGTGTACTCTGTCCTGCTCTGTTTTCCTGTCCAATGCCCTACTTTTTTCTTATTCAAGCTTGCTTAGGGGGTCTGCCATTTGAAGAAAAGGAGAAAGTAAGAGCTATCATGTGCATAAATTTGTTTGCTTAGAATTTTATAACTGACGAGATCTTTGAGTTTTCGTCTCACTATATATTGGATTGCAGAAACCATGCATTATTATGGCTTTATACAACTTTTTAGGAAGAGTGACATTATATGGGGGAGGGTACAAAAACCAAGAATGTTGCCAATGTTCAGAGTAGCTTTTGTTTTTTTGGTACCAGGGATCGAACTCGGGACCTTGCGCTTGCGAGGCAGGCGACAACACCACTGAGCTAAATCCTCGGCCCTATAAATTTATTTTCTGTTTCAGTTGCTATTTCTCAGAAAATTGGACCTAACTTTTTTTGGTAGCCTTCTACCTAAGCTTACTTGGCATTTTCTAATTTACATGTTGTTCTATATCTCTATTTGCATTCTTACTATGTATGATTTGAGAAGTATGTAAGCTTTATATGTAAGCTACTTTGTAGTGCATTTAGCCCCATTTAGCCCAACTTTATTGCCATGCTATTGGCACACTGTGAATTCTGGCCTGCATCTTTTACCTTGATCCTGTCTGTGTCCTGGGTGCCCACATTCAGAGTAGAGTTATTGCTACATGCACTGCCTTACTGAGAATCTGCGTGTGTTTCATTGTGCATATCATCTTGGTGCATGTGAATGCTGTTCAGTGGAGAAGACAGAGTCCTATGGCAGCTCAGAAAGTCCTTTATCTTGTTCTCCACTGTCACTGCTTAATCAACAGGCAGTGACAAACTATGAGCAATCTAGCAACTGGGGAAGACTCAGGAAATTCAAGGATGCTCCTCGCCAGGGAAAGGCTGGGTGTTTTTTCATCTAGAGCATGATTCTTAGAATCTGAGTTGATTTCTTATGATTGTCCCTAGCACTGCAGGAGCAATTGCTTAGGTGCTGAGATGAATTAACTCATAACTGAATTTCAGGAAATGTTCATTTAAAATACATCTTGGCTCCTGGAATTTACCATTGGAAAGATTTTCACATTATACTATATTATTTTCTTTCTCTTTTAACAGGGTCCATGATGCTAATTATTGGGCTGAATATGTTATTTGGTTCAAAGAAAAACCTTGATTTTCTTCTGCAAACAAAAAACAGTCCTAAAGTACCTTTCAGAAAGAGTGATAAATACATTAAACTTTGTAAGTATAGTTTTACATTTTTTATAGAAAGATGTTATATAAGTTTTCAAACATGTGTAATTCAAATATAATGAAGCCTCGTATACTTTCCACTCAACTTCAGTAATTCTCAATATTTTGCCAATGTTGATACCAGCTGTCTTCTCGCTTATTTTGGTTTAAGTACTTTAAAGCAAATCCATGATATTGTGTCATTTCAAACACAAATAGTCTGTATTAGTTTTATTTTACTTCTAATACAGATAAGCTGATTTAACAGGTAGAATTTTCAAAATGCTTTGTTCTAGTAATTGAGATTATTTATTCTATTTCTTGTTCTCTATTTTTTGAAAATTAAATATATTAACATTTAGTGTGTTGATAAACATGAGTTTCAAACATTCAGTTAATTATTACCCATATGTGACTCATTTAAAATGGACTAGATTTAACAAAACTTGAATGCATACAAAGTGCAGATTAGGTAATTGTTAAGTAGGACACAAAGATATATAAACAATAGTCTTTACCCTCAAGGCATTGATATTTTACTACAGAGACAAAATCTTACAATGTAAAAGATAGAAAACAATTAAGAAGCTGTATTGATTTTTAAAATATTTCCAAGAGATATGTCACAAAGCAGTAAGACCATCATATAAAAACCATCAGATATTTTTCATCATGATTTAAAAAGGTTATATTTAACTTTAGGAGGAATGTGTTTATGTGTGTGTTCTTTTGTTTTTTGGCATGCCCCTTGAACCAGAATCTGGTAGCTTTTGTTGGTTCTTAATCATGATTTTTAAAATAATCATAATCAAATTGAGGCATTTGGAAAAGTTTATCTATAGAGTTTTTAAAAGTAGACTTTATTTTTTTGTTTTGTGTTCTAAAGTTTAGCCAGATAGAGGATAGATAGATAGATAGATATAGATAGATAGGTAGGTAGGTAGATAGATCTGGGAGAGTCTTTGCACTTTGTGAATCTGAAGAGTCGTGTCTTGTCAATTCTGAAAAATCTTACCAAATATTGCCTTTCTCATTCCCTCTCCTTTTTCATTTTTCACTTCAGTGGGTTATGTGTTGAACCTTCTTATTGTATTCTTCATGTCTCTTATCCACTTTCAATTTTTGTACCTTTTGTGTGTATGTGTGTGTGTGTGTTGCCCTTTGCATTAATTCTCTATTCCACTTTGTCTAATCTGCTATTCTCCTTGTCCATTGAATTGCTAATTTCAACTATTACAATTTTTTTCTTTCTAGACATCTATTAGATTTCTTTACAAATACTGCTGATGGTTATTTTAGTCTCACATCCCTTAGTCATACTTTTGGATATTCTCTTTTATTTTTCTAAACATGTTAAACATATTTATTTTATATTATGATTTTGAAAGTCCAATATCAGAAGTCTTTGGGAGCTTGATTCTGCAGTATGTCTGTCCATTCTGGTTCCTGCTCATGGAGACTTGTTTTCTTGTATACTTTATAGTTTCACTTTAAGTTCATGGTCCTTGAGTTGCTTGTAGGGAATACTTTTTTTTGGTACTGGGGATCAAACTCGGGACCTTGTGCTTGCGAGGCAGGTGGTGGAACCACTGAGCTAAATCCCCAGCCCCCCAAATAAAGTATGTGTTATGCATTTCACACATGAAAATCAATCTGACATCTAGATATTCCCACAAACTCCTTGCCCAATAAACTCAATAATTTTGAAAAAATTATTTTAAAAAGTAAATTTAGTTTCTTTTAAACAAGTATTTCTTTCTGTTTAGTGTTGTGGCTACTCGTTGGTGTGGGGTTGTTGGGATTAGGACTACGACATAAAACCTATGAAAGGAAATTGGGCAAGAGGGTAAGTAATTCAAAATATTGAAGTAGAATTTTATATTACATATGTATAGAGATATTATTTTACACTTTACTCTTCTGTTTGAATGCTAGATATGGACCTGATGCCTACAGGATTCTTCAATCCTTGGCTCACATGCTGATAATATTAAAGCATTATTTTATGAAATTGAGTTCTTGGCCTAGATGTAGACTATCCAAAATTTTGTTGTTTGGTGTTATTTTGCCATTCATTATTTAACATACCTAAACTCTGAAACAAGAAATTCTTATACTTAATAGATAGTTCTAAAGAGAGCAGCCAGAAATTCTTTGACACCAGAAAAATCTCACTGATAGTTCTTGATTTTACAGCACATGAGTAGCTTGTATATTGATGAGTCCTAGAAGTTTTCTTGTCTTTTTTTTTCACATAAATCTTTTAAAGTCCACTTCTCTTCTAGAAAGGTGAGCAGAATTGAGAGGAAGTTATTGTAATGCTGCCTTTTTATCCACTCTAATAAAAATTCTATATCTTCCTAATGCAGCCAGCGTTACAGTTTGGCTAAAGTAGAATCTGTGTAGTTAGCTTGAATTTCAGCAATCTGTACCACCAGAAAAAAATTCTTATTTAAAAGCTATACTGAGGATTTAGATTATGTTTCTCTCATTCATCCCTGCATGCCCAGCACCTCATTCTGTGCTTGGCACATATTCAGAGCTCAATAACCATTTTTTTCTCCCCCTCCCTCCCTCTCTTCCTCTCTGTAGTGCCAACTATCACACCCTGAGCCGTTCTCAGTATCACTGCACAGTTCTTTTCCTGCTCACTTTAGTTGTTATTATTGTAAAATAAGGTCCATCAAAGAGGACACCTGATGTCAGCCAGGAATTCCTTTTGAAAGGAGTAGTTGAGTTTGATTTAATACTCATTCATTCATTCATTCATTCATTTAACAACTGTGTGTTGAATGCCTCTTGGTGTGCCTTGTGCTAGGGATTACAGAGGTAAACAAGCTGGATAAAATCTCTACCTTCCAGAGTCTGCATTCTGGTAGAAAAAGAGGGTATTCACAGGAACAAATAAAGAAAGACAATCATTTTAGATCAGGCTTCCCTGAAGGAAATAGAATTTTGGAGTGGAGAGTAACATCTGGGTAGTTAGAGAATCCTGCTCTGAGGAGGTGACATTTAAGATGAAACTTGAAAGTTGACCAGCACTGAGGGAGGCTAAGGCAGGAAGATTGCAGGTTTAAGTCCTGCCTGGGCAGACTTAACCTACGGGAGACCCTATACTGCCAGAAAAAAAAAAAAAAGAAATGAAAATGAAACACCAAAAAACTCCTGAAAGTTGAGAAAAAGACAGTTGTTTGGAGAGCTAGACAGAGGACTGAGGGAGAACCGACCTGGTGGATTTGAGCAGCATCAGGGTGACCAGCATGGCTGAAGTGTGGTGGCATGGTTGAAGATGGATTTGGAGAGGCTGGAGAAGGCGACATCACATAGGCCCCACGAACCATAGTGGGGAGCTCTGACTCTATTTTACTAGTAAAGGAAGACACAGTGATTCCAGTGAAGAAAATGATGTACATCAAATTGACAGCTCTGGGAAAATGTATTGGAGGGGATGAGGAGAGGCAGGGATATGCGTTCTAAGCTTTCCCAGTTGTCTGCTAGAGATGATAGTAACGTCACCTGGTGTGGCAGCAGTGGAGTTGGAGAGGAATGGAAAGATCTAGAAAGCAGAGCTGGTAGGATTGGTCAGTGGGTTAGATGTTGTTGGATGAGAAGGAAGCCATCCAGGATGGCCTCTATGTTTTTGGTTGGAGCTCCTAGAAGAAAGGAGATGGCATTTACTGAGATGGGAAGAGTGAAAGAATCACAAGCCTTGGAGTGACGAAATCCAGAATCAATTACAGATGGATACTTGTGCAGAAGGGCAGCTCGATCAATATAATCCTGCCTCTGAAAATCCCTGCTGATGGTTGCTTTCTCTTTTCATGGCCTATACTATATGTCATCACCCTTGTGTAAAGATGTGACCCTCAGCTCTTGGCTGTAGAAGATGTGTGGTGACCTTATCTTTTCCTTCTCCCAACCTGAGCTGCATGGTAGAGTTTGAGTTGTTTTTTTCAGTTGTGGTCATGGCTTTGTTCTTAACCAGCCATTGTCTTTCTCAGGGGTCCCGATGCAGGTCTGGGAGTCATTTGAGAAGGATGGTTAGGATCTGGCAGCACATTCTCTGACCAGCTCATGGACCCCACAGAGGAGCTCTTAAATGGGCTGTGCTCCTAAGTCTTGGTCTTGCCAGTGTGGTGGGGTGTTACCGTATTACTGACTAGGTTACATTAGGGTGATCATTTTATAAATATGGCAAAGACCTCTAGATATCCCTTTGTATGTGATTCTCCCTTGCAAGACATACCATTATTTTGAGTATGGTGTTTTAAAAAAATCATTGTCATACCTTTTTGTATTGTTGCTATATATGATAGATCCCAAGACAGTATTGTTGTTTTCATGTTTTTAATTCTAAATGACAACTAGACAGGTGTAATGGAGCACATCTGTAATCTCAGTATTCTGGGAGGTGAAGGAAAGAGGATTGCAAGTTTGAGCCCAGTGTGGGTAATTTAATGACTTAGTGAGACCCTACCTCAAAAGAAAAAAAGTGCCGAGGTTGTAGCTCAATGCAAAGGCCCTATGTTCAGTCCCCATTTCTGAAAAAAAAGCCATCTGATACATACTTTGCAACTTTAAAACATTGTTTTTGTGAGATTCATCCACCTAGAAATATGTAGCTTTAATTCATTTATTAGGGCCATGTAGTATTCTGATATGCAACACCGTTTGTTTATTTCTTTTCCTATTGACAGAATTTATTTACTGGGGATATGTACTGTCCCATTATATGTAGTAAGTAACATTCGTTTTTTTCCTATTGATGGACAGCCAGCGTGTTTCTAGTTTCTTGCTATAATAAGCAATGCTTATTATAAACACTCACTTTCACTTTTGAAACATTCCTTGGAACTCCCCAGCTTAAGGTAGATGTTCATGAAATATTTATTATGAGAATGCCAGATAGCAAAATATCTCCTTATTGTTAAGATGTCTAAGGAAATCTTTTTGCTGAAATATGAATTTTGGTAGGGAGGGGGAGAAAACTAGGTCACCAAAAGTGCTATTTTCACAGTTATCCTAAATTACCATTAATCAATTCCTCAGGCACCAACCAAAGAGGTCTGCGCGGCCATCTGGCCTTTCAGGTTTGGATACGACAATGAAGGATGGTCTAGTCTAGAAAGATCGGCCCAGCTGCTCAATCAGACAGGTAAGTCTCAACGGAGCTGGTTCCAGGTTTTGAGGAATTGCTACTGTTAGTTTGATTTTCAGCAAGACTGTGAAGTCACAGGAGGGACTGCTGGGTCATACACTCTTCTCTTAAAAAGACACTTTGCATTGTTGGGCAGCAGCAGGTCTAAGCTTCCTTAGCCACATCATTCTCTGAGAACAGTTCATCCTGTTGATTGCAAACAGCGCCTCCTCCTGGAGGTCTGAAGGGGATTCTCGTCATGCCCTTCCTGTTAGAGATGCCCTTGCCATGGCTCCTGTCACTTGGGGGCCAGAAAACTGTCGGATTAAAGACCAGAATGAGTCAGAAGTAAAGTTCATGTGTGTAGAAACTCTTCAAGAATACCAGAGCTAATTTTATTTGTTTATGGCACTCATTTTTATATGAAGCATCCTTTAAAATATGTGGAATTTGGCTCTGAGATCAGATACATGGAGTATGTAGTTAGATAAGTAAAGAGTTAACTTTTCTGGCTATTTTTAATGATAAATATGCCTCCTAAATTTTTTCTTAATTTTTTTTCTTTTTCTTCCTTTCTCCCTCCCTCCTTTCCCTTCCTTTTCCATTTCCCCTTCCCCTGCCCCTCCCTCTCCACTCCTCTTGCCCCCCCCCCTTTCTCTTCCCTACCCTTGGACAAGGCATCACTCTCTTGTCCAGGCTGGGTTCAAATTTGCAATTCTTCTGCATCATTCTCACAGCGTGCTGGGATTATAGGTGTGCACCACCACATCTGGCTCCTTTTGTATTTCTTATTTTGAATCAAGGTCTCATTAAATTGCCCAAGCTATCCTCAAACTTGTGATCTTCCTGTCCTGAGTAGCTGGGTTTACAGGTGTGTGCCACCTCACCTGGCTCCTAAAATACTCATTTTCTGTTCCAGATTAAGCTTGGTGATGAGATACTTTTAAGGGGTTAGGGAGAGAGGTAGTAGGAATCAAACTACCACTGAGTTACATCCCCAGAGAAATTTATGAATGTTTCTGAACACAATGCCACTAAAAATTTCTCTCACTCTTAGGCCTTATTTATTCTTGATTACAGGCCTCTGAGGCACAGCTGGCCAAAGTCTTAAAAAGCCAAGCTGGGTGCCGTGGTGCATACTTATAATTCCAGTATTCAAGAGGCTGATGCAGGAGGACTGTGAGTTTGAGGCCAGCCTGGGCTACAAAAGGAGACCTGGTATCCAAAAAAAAAAGCTAATAAACTTACTTCTATACCAATTCCATGGAGCTGTTTGCTATAAACCAGGTATTTGTGAAAGATGTTAAGATTATATAAAATTTTGGGCAAGATGTTAAGAATATTTGAAAATTTAGAAAAATTATGCTTTTATCCTTCCCAGAATTTCCCTAAAGTATTCCATGTTTTAATTACATTTCAAATACGAGAAACACCTTTTACAGCCAAGATTTGAGCCACCTCCTGTTAATGACTCATAAAGAATTACTTTGTTTTGGGATTTATGAGTTCAGACAAAAAGGTTAAGGTAAAGAATAATTTTGCTGCTGGGGATTTAGCTCAGTGGTGCCGCCACCTGCCTCGCAAGCAAGGTCCGGAGTTTGATCCCCAGTACCAACAACAACAACAAAAAAGAGTAATTTTGCTATCTATGTCTTAGTTACTTTCTTGTCACTGGGACAAGATACCCGATACCCACAATGTAAAGGAAGTGAAGTTTACTTTAACTCACATCTTCAGTCCACGGCTGGCCCCACGGCAGGAACAGCATGGTGGAAAGGCCTGGGTGGAGGAAAGCTGCTCATATCACGGCATCCAGGAAGCAGAGAGAGGAGGGAGGAGTTGGGGAGGGTGTCACACCCTTCCAGGTCATGCCCTTAGCGACCTGCCTCTTCTGACCAGGTCGTAACTCCTAACTCCTAACTCAGCTTCTGAACGCATATTAGGGATGAACCCACTGATGGGTATAGCACCCCCTGAATCTCATCACCTTCCAAAAGCCCCACCTTCAAGTGCATGAGTTCTGAGAAACATTCCAGATCTAAACCATAACATGCCGATTGCTTTCTACATCTCTGTGATTCCTTACCATGTGCTGTTTTCTTTTTTTAAACAGGTGCAGATTTTATAACAATTTTGGAGAGTGATGCTTCTAAGCCCTATGTGGGGAACAATGACTTAACCATGTGGCTAGGGGAGAGGTTGGGTTTCTATACAGACTTTGGTCCAAGCACACGGGATCACACTTGGGGGTGAGTCTACCTTGGGAATTAATCCTGAACATAGACCTGAGAGAGTGAGCATAGGCTCGGAGTGGAAAGTTGACACTGTCGTGTCTTTGACCTGTGAATACAACCCCGTTGTCCTTCTTGAGTGCATTTTCTTTCATTTTTAATGTGGTTCTGCTATTGCTGGATATTTCCAGTTCTTCACCATTATATACCATTCAGATTTGGAGCTGAGGTCACGGCACCAGGCCTGTCTGACCTGGTTACTCTCCTCAGGGAGTTTGTGGCCCTTCATATCTGCAGGTTCCACATCCACGAATTCAACTAATTGCAGATCAAAAACATGAAAAAAAATTCTAGAAAATTTCAGAAAGGAAAACTTGAATTTGCCACATGCCAAGTACTACACTTAATCAATGCAAATGAAGTGATATATGGGCATTGTATTAGGTATTATTAGTAGCATAGAGATGACAATGTACATGGGAGAGTGTAGGTTATATGCAAATGCTGTGTGATTTTATACAAGGGACTTTTGGGTTTGTTTTTTTTGGTACTGGGAATTGAACTTGGGACCTTGTGCTTGCGAGGCAGGCGGCAGCACCACTGAGCTAAATTCCTGGCCCACTTTGGTATTTATAGAGTGTTCTGGAACCAATCTCTCATAAATACTGAGGGACAGGCAGGAACTTGTACACACAAAAAATTAATAAGTGAGTTTGAGATTGTGATAAGTGCTATGAAAAAAATGAGAGAGATAGAGAGAGAGAGAGAGCACCTTTGTGGGGCAGTGGCCCTTGAGGATGGTGGTCCTATAGGCAAGCTGGTCAGGAAGGCCTCTCTGGAGAAAGAAGGGATGATGAGAAGGACCCAGGACCAGGACCAAGAAGAGCTGAGGAACAGCCAGGTAAGGGAGGCAGGGTGGAACTTGGGGTAGCTGCAGTGGAAGAGACCCAGAGAAAGATGGTAAGAAATGAATCCAGGGAAAGGCCTCTGTTGCCCAGTAGTGATGAGATACCACCCGAGGATTTTAAACAGGAAGTGATCTGGTCTTATTTACATTTAAAAAGATCCCTTTGCGAAGAAAAAGTGTGGGAGCTGGGAGGCAGGGGAGGACTTAGGTACAATAGCACAGATGAGATGACAAAGTGGAGAAGAAGAGAAGATGGCAAAGTCAGTAACTCTTTTGGAATAGAGCTGATGGGTCTCGATGGCTTAAAGATCAGTGACAAATCAAGGTTATGTCTAGGATTTATACCTGATGGGACACAATGTTTACTGGGACTGGAACGGCCAGGAGAGCCACATGTATGTGCTGAGTTTGAGATGCCCCAGGCAGTTAAGTGACGTCCAGTGCATAGCCTGGAAGGTGGAGCAGGACAGGCCCAGCTGGAGGTGATGCATGGTAGAGACAGACTTGTCTGCCCAAGAGGGGCCCAGAGATAACACATGCAGCTGCTAAAGAGAAGTCAGCTGAGGTCAGAGCCCTGCTCCTCCTTTTCACATGTAGCTCTTTGACATTGAGTGAGGTGACAAGCCTTTTCATATGTTTATGGAACAATTTCTAATTTTGCACATTGTGACATTGTGTTCTTGCCAGCAAGATAAATTCCCATATGTGTTAATACTGTATTAGAATGTTTATGCAAATGGGTTGTCAGAGTAACAACGCAAGTGAAATGGATTTTCATATTACCAGTGTTTCCCTCTGCATGTCTCCTTAGCACTACTGTGCTCAGTGATAATAGCAAGATGTGCTGAACCGACAGACTGCTCTATAAGTCGCCATCACATCGCTGCTCTGAGTGCCCCTCAGTGGGATGTTTGCAGCGTGACATGTATCTGTTTAATGCACTTGCTTCTTCCCACCTGTATAGTACGATTTGTTTCTTGTCACTCCATTACAGGATTATGGTACTGTCAAGATACCCAATTGTGAAATCAGAGCATCACCTTCTTCCGTCGCCAGAGGGCGAGATCGCACCAGCCATAACCCTGACTGTGAACATCTCAGACAAACTGGTGGATTTTGTTGTGACACACTTCGGGAATCATGAGTGGGTTTCTTTGATATACTTAATATTACACATGTGTCAAGAAATATTATTCACACTGCCACCTGCCTCGCAAGCGCAAGATCATGAGTTTGATCCCCGGCACCAAAAAAGAAATATTATTCACATATTAATTGGTTTCTATGAAATAACTCTTTTTACTTTATTTTTTTACATCTGCTATTATTTTTCCCCATGTTGTTGGTGGTAACAATCAGACATCGAAGCATTTGGGATACAGGAGTCCTAACATGAGCATTAGTCCACAGGGCCTGATATGTGCAGTAATTCTCTCTGTGGGTGCTTTACTAAATGCATTATCGAATATCATCTTCACTCTGTAGAGGGGAAGTACCATTTTAGCCCCCTTTAAAAATTGATAAAGAGGTCCGGGGATTTAGCTCAGTGGTTCTGCCGCCCACCTTGCAAGCTCAAGGTCCTGAGATCAATCCCTGGTACCAGGAAAAAAAAAAAACTGATAAAGACCCTAAACTGAGAATACTTGTCCTACAAGTAGGAAGAAATTAGACAAATGCAGAGCCCACAAGTGCTTGGAGCCTCGTGGTAAACCAGACTAAAAATAAATTCCTTTTGCCTACAAGATTATTGGTATAAAAAGTTGCATTTTGGGATTTGAGGGTAGTGAATAACATTCCTTTTCCCCTCATGTTTTCAAAATGTCTGCTAAGCAGGCAGAAGAATCTGGGGGATGGAGGTCAAGATGTCACTTTTAATACACATCCTGTCTGGTAACATGGGTTCTGTGTTCATGTGGACCTGTGAGCCCGGCCACCAACCGTCCATGAAGAGGACTCTTCCAAACACTAGTCCCACCCAGCAGTGGCAGAGCCTGCCTTGGCAAGCTTTTTCTTTGGTGGAAAGAATTGGACAAAATATTTTGTATGCAGAGATTCCAAGGAGAAGAGAAAGGAAGGGCTGAGACAAGAATGTCTACTTAATTCTTCCAAACTAAATTAATTAGAAAAGTCCTTCCAAAACAGTAAAGGACATAGAGAGAGGCCAGTGGTGTTTTTTAAAAATTAATTTATTATTTGTTTCTTGTACCAGGGATTGAACTCAGGACCTTGCACTTGTGAGGCAGGGACAGCCCCTAAGTGGTGATTTTTTTTCCCCCATTACTTCATTGGTACATTTTAGGTATAAAATACAGTTACATTCATCATTGGGATCTTGTCCCATTACATGAGTCTCTTGGTTCTTATTTTTTTTCCCCTTCCCTTGACCTCCCTTCACCCCCTCCACACTTCCCTATTTGCAAAGACCTTGTTTC